TCTAGGAATGAGAGGAAGTTATCAAAACGACTTGATGATGTTATAGTAGATCAGGAACAAGAATAGAAGGCTTGTATCGGCATTCTATGGATACATTATAGAACCTAACATAACTATTACTATGTAGAGAGATTTCTACACACGTGATAATCATCTCAACGTACGATCTAGCCTTTTAACTAGTTGATTTTTTTTTTTATCTATCGCTATATGTTTTAGCTGTTAAGCAATAAAATAATCGGTTCTATTGACGTCCTCGGAAGGTTAAGGCAGACACGACTGTATATAAATATTCTTAGTTTCCAAGAAAATTTACGACACCGACTAGAACTCCGACTCCGACTACGTCGCTATCGAAAACCACCTGTAAATTAACACACCCTCCATAGAGAGAATAAGGCAATTTTCCATAGATCTTGAAAGATTAGCAAAGAAATGGCAAATATTCTCACCAAAGTGATTTTAACAGGTGAAACGGTCTTGGATTTCAAAAAAGGGACGAACGAACCCTTTTAAGATATTACACTGCAAGGCAAAGTATAACTTTTTGCGTGCTAGGAGATATCTTGTTTTCTGTTACCATTTCCTGCTCGATTAAGATCTTATGATCAGAATTCAGTGAAAAAAATTACTTACCCTAATTTCACTGACTATAAGCTGGAAAGGGGAGGTCTTAACTACTGCCAGTCGAAAGAAATTAAATATTAACATGATAATGGCTTTTAGGCTGGTCATAAAATGTAGAATTGCTTGCGTTAAAAATTGCTTCTTTACAATGGCGCAATATTTATTAATAGACTTTTTAACAAGGTTAACAATTTTCAAACAAAATACATATAGACTGTTCTTTAGAGAACATTTGACTCTCTCTTGCAGCGAGGGTTTCCAATGGGTCGCTCGGTTTCTTCAAAGTTTATGTCGCGATAAAATATCAAGCTTGTCGATTCTGGAATACTTGTTGATGGCGTCCAGCTTCTAATTTACAAAGAAATCTTCGATCGATGCGTCATTTTATAATTAAGCTTCCAAATTAACCTTTTCGGCGATACGTGGGCCTTTTTTAATTTTATTCTTTCAAATATCTATTAGGACAAGGTAAAGGGGCAATTAGTATGTATTTGCACCTGAACATCCCATAATAGCTATTTGAAAAAATAGAATTCAAAATGGCCGCCGTATCGCCGAAAAGATTCAATGTCTAGGCTTAAAAGGGGACGATATACATCTGGCAACAATGAAGAAAACATGTCACCAAGTGGAGGTGACTGCTAG